ATGTAATCAGATCACTCGTCATCAATAAATTGCGAAATACACTAATCATAGACAGAGCTTAAGAAACTTGAAGTTACACCGCATGAGTTTCTTTTAAACGAAAAATCAAAATTTTATTTCAAGGTGAAATATCGACCATTTCTAACCTTTTTGGATGAGGTATGAAAGGATGAATTATGAAGAGTAATGCGAATGGAAAAATAAAAGTGTCCAGGGATTGGAATCGAACCCACAATGTTCCGCTTACCGGGCAGATGCCATGTCCACTAGGCTACCCTGGACGTATTTTTCCATTCGTAAATGATACATAAAGTAACTTATAATACAATATAATACACTACGGCCTGTGATTGTAAAACGACACTTGAAGTTACACCGCATGAGTTTCTTTTAAACGAAAAATCAAAATTTTATTTCAAGGTGAAATATCGACCATTTCTAACCTTTTTGGATGAGGTATGAAAGGATGAATTATGAAGAGTAATGCGAATGGAAAAAAAAGTGTCCAGGGATGGGAATCGAACCCACAATGTTCACCTTGAAATTAAATTTTGATTTTTCGTTTAAAAGAAACTCATGCGGTGTAACTTCAAGTGTCGTTTTACAATCACAGGCCGCAGTGTATTATAGAGCTTTAGAAAGTTTCATATTTTGATGTTGCCGGTCGTTTTTTTTTTTTTTTGAAGGAGACAGAGACAATTTTATTCACTTGGTTATCTCGTGTGTGTTCAATAAAGGTCACTGTAATATCTTTCAGAGTTATTGTCTGAATGCCGATATCCCTTTAAAAGGTACAACTTCCTTAAGTTTTGTCTATGAGTGTAGATCAAGACAGGGAAGTGCAATCTTACGGGAATTTCCATTTAGGTTCCAAATGTTTTAAAGGTGGCTTCTCTCTTCTATAGTGAAATCAGCCAGCCATAAATACCAAGATTGTTGCGTACCTATATTGTTTGTTGTTCGTCTGATAAGAATTTCTCCCCTTTTTTCGTATATTTGCATATTTGATATACAAGGTATGATAAAAACAATTCTCATACATGATCGAATTGTAAGAGATTGAATAAAAATATACGATTTCAAGTCTACGCTATAAAAATGAAGTTTTTTAAAAATGTTTGTTGCAAATATTTCTCTGAAATAGACGTGGTATATACACAGTTGTCATCATGGGAGCAATTCCTTGATTAACTGTCGTATTTTATACTCTTCAATTTTGGACTGTGAAGTTGTCTTTTCGACAATTACAATGAATAGAATTAATACCAGAGCTCTCTCACACACACACACAACATTTAAATAATGATGATATTAAAAATAAGTATAGAGGTTTTTAACAAAATGGATAGTTAGCGAAAGTTTTTACTAGACGTTCACCACATGTCTACACAGCAGTTCGACTTTTGAACTTACAAGTGCGCCAGAACCCTGTTTGGTTACTTGTACTCACTTGTCCAATGCGTAATTCGATCCCGGCTCGTGACTGTCGAAGACAATTTATACCACTCCTCTCCATTAACCAATTATAGTGATAAGGTGAAAGAATATAGGTTGGTTGAATGTTCGTTTATACTCTGGCAAATCCTGGTTCATTCGCCCTGTACTGTAATAAAACATTCAAATAATTTATATTTTTGTACAGGGGGGTCGGTGGAAGGCTGGTTAAACCGTTTGGTTTTCGACCACTACGACCCGGGTTCCATTCCCGCATTGGACACTTTTTTCTGTTAAAAAAAAAATGCTCCAATGGCCCCCGATTCTTGCAAAAGTCCAACCCCACCAGCGAGTGCAAGTAACCAAACGGGGCTCTGGCACATTTTTAAGTGCAAAGTCGAACTGCTTTTCACCTGTGTAGACATGTGGTGTACTTACAGTAAAAGCAGTCGCTAACTACCCACCATGATTATCATGGCCTGTACCACGTGTACTAGGGAGAAGCAAAAAAAAAAAAAAAACATATCTCTATATATATAAAAATGAATGTTTGTATGTCTGTCTGTATGTCCGGTATACAAATTCGCAGTAGTTCACTAATTCAAACCAAAATTTCCATACATAGGTAAAAAAATACGGGGAAGACGATAGGCTATTTTAAAAAATATATAAATCAATTATTAAAACTATAAATTTTTATTCAGAAAATGATGATGACGATATTGCTGTATCATGTTTGATTATCAGCTACAAAATTATATCTCTTCTATATTTATATATAAAAATGAATGTTTGTTTGTTTGTTTGTCTCTCTGAATGTCCGGTATACAAATTCGCAGTAGTTCACTAATTCAAACCAAAATTTCCATACATAGGTAAAAAAATACGGGGAAGACGATAGGCTATTTTAAAAAATATATAAATCAATTATTAAAACTATATATTTTTATTCAGAAAATGATGATGACGATATTGCTGTATCATGTTTGATTATCAGATACAAAATTATATCGGGAAAAATTCCAAAAAGCAGAGACCACGAGTGAAACCAGTTCATTATTTTGTACGCAGGAACAAAATTCTAACAGAAAAACATTCATTCGAGCAGAAAACAAAAGCTAGATCATCTTTCTATAAAAATATCGCTTCTCAGACACAAAGTTTGGAGCGGGACGTTTCACAAGAGTGACATACACGGCGCCAATTTATAATTGTAACGAATAGTATTTGAATAAAAGCATTTAATCGGGTAAAACCCGGGCGTTGCCCGGGTCATTCGGCTAGTATATATATTTGTACAATTGTGTGTGCATTACCATATAATATAGTTCAATATGAAATGGTGGAGAAACGAGAGGGAAAAAATAGATTCTTCCATTCCTGTCAAAAATTGTAAGGAATCCATAAATTTAAAGTCAACGCGAGTAGATAGCATTAACCAATATGGTAATTGCACAAACAGAATTGACAATCAAATATATTTTATATATTTATTTAAAAAAAAAAAAGTGAGCCGGACGTGATTCGAACACGCAACTTTCTGATCTGGAGTCAGACGCGCTACCGTTGCGCCACCAGCCCGTTAATTTACTTTTCAGTTAATAAAATTTAAATGACAAAATACTCTATAGTTGGCGATAATACATTACATAATATACTATTGCCAACAGACTATTAAATAGCTAAAACATAAACATCAGTTTATGAGAGAATTTCCTTAATAACTCTAATCAAAAACCTTTCTTTTAATATTTCCAAATGTTGAAAAGTTTCCTTGAAAACCGATGAAATCGAGTTATATATATGTAAGAAATGAAACAATTTTGTGCGATTTATTACTTTTTATATATAAAATAAAAAAAATCCTATACAATCTTACTGCGATACAAAGAAATAAAATAGTCTGGCTCATCAGTAATGAACCCTACCAGCGACTTCGACCATTTAATCTCCCATACCGCTCTGATATTGTATTTGTATACTCTGCTTACATATCGGGCACTTTAGAGGAATACATTTCTGTGCTTAAGATATTTGAGAAATCTATGGGCTTTGATGACAGTAGGGGGAAAAAAACTAACGAAAAACCGCTGGGAAGGTTCACCACTGATGAGCCAAACCCTCCCAATATATTTTTCATCGCAGTATGTACAGTAGGGAGCTATTTTGTGTACAAACGTTTTATTTTTTATATATAGATAACGCGTTAATGTTTTCTTTTTATAAATATTATGCAGGGGGTGGATATTCATCTGCCGAAGGGCACCTCTCCCTTCAAATGATATGACATATTCTTTATCAACAACAACACAATCACTGGCATGATAAACGAAAATACTTATAATATTTTAAAGAAACTTTAAGTATCCCAGAAGAGGCACCTCTCCCTTTGAAAATTATATGTATGTTACAAGGCATTTATATATATAAAAAACCTATATATTTACCTATTAACAATAAAACTTGAGGCAATTTTCTATGGTAATTCTATGAAAATGAAAAGCACTGGGGAGGTTTGGTTCTTCAGTGATCATTATTGTTTTGGCGTATCCAATTGACTTGATCTGGCTTATTGCTGGTTGAGTTGAACCTGTACAAACTTTGAGACCAACTGAAATAATGTATCATAAAAACGGCATTTTGTACATGGCAAGGTGGTGGTGGATCTCGTTTGTTCTCCCTCACATACTGCTCTTAAAGTATAATTATTTGGACAACGTTTTAGCGTGTATTTTAGTTAAATTAGCACAACAATGTATAAGAAATGAAACCACTAAAGCACGAATGTTTATTTTACACATAAAACAAACTTCTACTGTCCTTACTGCAATGAAAAATATTGGGAGAGTTTGACTCATCAGTGGTGAACCTTCCCAGCGGTTTCGCCAATTTAATCTACCAGATATCTTCTTAGAGCTCTAATACTGTATTGGACGCGATTCTTCTTATATATACTATACACTGAAGGGTGAAATTTTAAAAATGATTTTCAAGAAAACTATGGGCATAAGCTTTTAGAAGAATAGAGTTATATAAATATGTTTATGCCAAGTTTTTATCATTGTTTTTTCTACGTTACAAGCTTTTGGGGAATTCCTTTATCAAACAAAGTTAAAAAAACACGTTTGAGATAGTGTATGGTCCTTTGATATTCTATCTATTTATGTGCCACTGGAATATTTACATATTTATATCTTTATATTTTTACCTTTTGATTTTGTGAATGTATATTTACGTAAATATTATTGGTGAATGAATTATATTGGGGTTAGATTAATGTTTTCTATTGTTCTGATTGGTATTTTTATACATGTGTCTATTGATGACGAAATCTGTACCTAAGGATTCCATTTCTTCTATGGTTAGTCCTTAAAGTTTATTTGGTATTTTGGAGTGTGCAGAAGTTTAGCTGATTTAAAGCCTGGTTCATACTTCTTGTTAGAGGTTTGTTCTATATACTTATTGTCAACAATTCTTGGTATTTCTAATTAGAGTAAATTTTATATTTTGATCTCAAGATATATGAATGAATTTATAATTATATTTAAGCAATTTAGAACCTATTTGGAGTGAAGCAACGGTTAACGTGTCTGATTAGGAATAAGAAGATCTAGGTTCGAATCCTGGCAGCATCGTTTTAAATAAATGTAGGCCTATATCTCCCGTAAGGTAATTAATTTGGTGACATTGTGACATAATGATAAGTGGTTTGGCGGGTAAGTGATCCCAAGAGATCACGGACAACGATTAAAACGATTCAGTGAGGATTCTACCCACCCCCTAGTTGGATAAATTGATAGATTTAAAAACTTCCTCATTAAAATTTCAACTTGTAAAATATCCGAATCTCAATTTAATAAATTTTAAGAATATTTTTCTTATACGCCTCTCTTTACTTTCAAAAATATTTAAATCAACACAAAAATACAGAAAGAAAAGGAAGTTTAATTAGATAAATATATACAGGATGTGTGTGAACAATCTCGTAAACTCCTATGGTTAGAAATAGAGAGAGAGCGGATGGTCGAATAAGAAGAAGGACCAAGTAGATGAATGATCCCAAGAGAATTGAAATTCCTTTCTTGAAGGCAAATAGATTTACCTCAGCTACTCCTAGTATTTTCATATCTTTTTTGGTCTTCTCATATAGAGGAAAGCGAAGATTTTTCTATATTACCTGGATAAAGTAATAGGAACAAATTCTTTAGTAAATGCAGCCGTGTGCCACAGAAGCTGTTTACTGTTGATTCTGAGGATGGCCATTCAGACATGATGATGATCCCTATAATAGTAAAGGCGAAAATGACACAAGCCAATAAGGGTCTAGAGGATTAAAAAAAAAACACGATCCTCTCTGGAGATCGCCCCGTCTTTCTGTTAACAATACTTCCATTAATATTCAATTTCATTTTTGTTTGAAAAGGCTTATTGAGAGTCAATCAGAAAAGTAATGATCATATAAGAAAGCTGTGGTATATATTTGGCCATAATGTGAAAGACCGTTGAATCTGGATGTCCATTATCGCGATGAAAGACTTTGAGAACCTTAGATTTCTGATTGCCTTATGAAATCTTATTTCCATAGAAGAGAAAAGTAAGATATCTGGATACCAATGACAACTAGCATGAGTTAGCATGTATGGCTTGCACATGTACATATGAATGTATGCCATAGCTTAGACTGGATCCATGAAGTAAAATATTCTGACTGAACAAGCAAGTAACATCCATCGTGAATACACGTTCACACGACTAGATTTCAGGAATGTGTTGACCCGTACATAATTAGGTACATGTTGAATGTATGCCTATACAATAACCAATAAGCCTCTGAACTTGCCATATGTATAATAGGGGTACATATTCGAATGTATGTATATTGCTGCACCGCCCTTGGATGCAGATGGTTGGAAAAACCTGCTGTCTTTGGCATGTTTCTATAGGATTAGCCAAGGTACAACTTATTGTAAATGTATGCCTGTAGAGTCAAAACTAGTCTTTAGGTGCTAGGTGGCACATTTTATTAAGATTTGAAAATTTCTTATTCCCGCAAAAATTGGATCAACTCTATTAATTGTTGATATTTCAGCAGTTTGAAAATCTTTTCTTGGATTGTTTCAAAGATCTTTTTAGGAGGGAGGCTTGTGTGGATATGATTAAGGAAATATTTGAGACTAGCTCCATTGGTTTTGTATATGACGCATGTTGAGCATGTATTGATGTTGCCTAGAAATTTGAGAGACCTAAGGTATCCGATGTTGAGAGAATCTGGCAATTGTTGACTGCCTTTCTTGAGATAGGACTCTTCCTTAGGCGCTATAGATGTATGCCAGGGGCATGAGTGAGGTTTTTCAGGGTAGCATTTTAAAATGACCTTTTGGGAGAGAGTTAAACAAGAGCAAAATAAATAATAGTTATGTGAATTACTATGCAATACATTAAAAATGTCTTATCTGTGAAGTCAGGTAAACACTTCTGCGCGTTGAAAATTCCTCTCATCCACAATGTTCATCCCTCTTACTATATTTGATATATATTATTCCGACATTGTCCTTCAAATAATAAATCTACTGGCCGAAGTGTTTCTTATTTTAAGAATATTGAATGCCGGCCAGGCAACCTCTATCTTCAAGATTATTTCAACAAAGCACAAAATTATTGGCATAGGGTTATATACCTACATTTCGATTATCGACAACCAGGGATTGCATTGAAAACTTTTATTCTAAAATAATAAATGCTCAATAGTCGCTGAGACTTCAACAAGTCCAACCCCTCTAGTGAGTGTGGATAATCAAAATTGTATTTAGAGCTTCCTTAAACATAAAACAAATTTCCACTGTCCTTACTGCGATTAATAAATATTGGGAGGGTATGGCTCATCAGTGGTGAACCCTCTCAGCGGTTTCGCCAATTTAATTAATCTACCAGACCCATTCTTAGAGTTCTAATACTTTATTGGACGATTCTGCTTATATCTTAAAGGCATTTGGATGCAGAATGAAAGGGAAACCACGGCCATACATTTAACCCGTCATGACTAAACCTCTGAAGTGGCTATTGTGTTGAGCTTTGTATGGCAGAATACGTACATTTGTAGATGACCATTGACGACTGAACACATGGGTGACATGTTGATATAATCTATGTGACAGAAGTAGGCCATTGTAGTGCCACGGCTGGATACCGTCACCATGGCAACGTCATGGCGTCGCGCGATTGAGGAAGTCCCGGGAATTTCCGCAGTTTCTCTTCCGGATGGAACTTTGTTGTAAACTTCTGTGAGTGTCTATGGAGGGAACTTGGTTCTGTGTGTGGGCGTCAAGATTCTATGGTGAAACTCGGTTGTAACCTTCTGTGGACGTCTAGCTTCTATGGAGTGAACTTGGCCGGGAGGACATGATCTATAAAGATACGGGTCACCTCTCCCGTCAAAATAGACGTCGTCAAAACTAGCCGCCATATATATATATGAAATTTTGCCGGGAGGAAATTGATCTAAAGAGACAAGGGTCGCCTCTCCTGTCAAAATAGACGTCTAAAACCAGACGCCATCTATTGACCGTCGCCGCAACTAGCGGCCTCGGGTCGGTGACAAAGCCACAGTACCAGCTTTGGCAAACTGAAAAGCGTCCACCTAGAGAGATATATATATTTCATTGATATGAAATTTATATAATTTTTCTCTTAGGATTAAAAAAATGCCTTAAAGTTATACGTACATGCTCTATGACCCTAAAAATTGTTCTTTTTTAAAAATAACTTTTTATTCATTTCGTAAATATAGCAATACTTTTATATAGTGGATTTTAGTTTACTTCTGTTATACCCCATTGGAAGAGACAGACAAAATATATTAAAGTGTTTTTACTCACAGTTTTAATTTCCTTTTAATTCCAACAAATAAAAGAAACGTCTTATACATAACAAGCAATTAAAAAAAAACCCCAAGAGGAACTCAGATATTTTAAAAGAAGGTATTTAAATGAATTAACTTCAAACGCTGTTTAGTTTCTTCAAGGAATCGGGCTACGACGATGAACACTTCTTTATTTAAGAACGGAACTTACTAACTAACTGACAACATTCATTTTGTCTCTCTTTATAACCTAACTCGAGCGTCTATATGCAAAACCATATTTACATATTTACATCTGAATATGTACAATTACATCACATCTCCCCTCTTAGAGATTAGCTCTAGTCCTCTCCAAAACGTCTGGGCGGACGAACTGTTCTTCCAGGAGATGTTGATGATCCGGCCACATCCGCAGCAGCATCCGAAGTGTGTGGGTTGGCCTCCGGGCAATTCACATATGGCTCCCCGTTAAGGTCCGTCAGCCAAAATTTTACTTTTGTACTATTTCACTTTTGTACAATTATACTTTTGTACAATTACACTTTTGTACAATTTTACTTTTGTACAATTTTACTTTTGTACAATTTTACTTTTGTACAATTTTACTTTTGTACTATTTCACTTTTGTACAATTACACTTTTGTACAATTACACTTTTGTACAATTTTACTTTTGTACTATTTCACTTTTGTACAATTACACTTTTGTACAATTACACTTTTGTACAATTTTACTTTTGTACTATTTCACTTTTGTACAATTACACTTTTGTACAATTACACTTTTGTACAATTACACTTTTGTACAATTTTACTTTTGTACAATTTTCCTTTTGTACAATTTTCCTTTTGTACTATTTCACTTTTGTACAATTTTACTTTTGTACAATTTTCCTTTTGTACTATTTCACTTTTGTACAATTTTACTTTTGTACAATTTTACTTTTGTACAATTACACTTTTGTACAACTACACTTTTGTACAACTACACTTTTGTACAATTTTACTTTTGTACAATTTTCCTTTTGTACAATTTTCCTTTTGTACTATTTCACTTTTGTACAATTTTACTTTTGTACAATTTTCCTTTTGTACTATTTCACTTTTGTACAATTTTACTTTTGTACAACTTTACTTTTGTACAATTACACTTTTGTACAATTACACTTTTGTACAATTTTACTTTTGTACTATTTCACTTTTGTACAATTTTACTTTTGTACAATTACACTTTTGTACAATTTTACTTTTGTACAATTTTACTTTTGTACAATTACACCTTTGTACAATTACACTTTTGTACAATTACACTTTTGTACAATTTTACTTTTGTACTATTTCACTTTTGTACAATTTTACTTTTGTACAATTTTACTTTTGTACAATTTTACTTTTGTACTATTTCACTTTTGTACAATTACACTTTTGTACAATTTTACTTTTGTACAATTTTACTTTTGTACAATTACACTTTTGTACAATTACACTTTTGTACAATTACACTTTTGTACAATTACACTTTTGTACAATTTTACTTTTGTACTATTTCACTTTTGTACAATTACACTTTTGTACAATTACACTTTTGTACAATTTTCACTTTTGTACAATTTTACTTTTGTACAATTTTACTTTTGTACAATTTCCTGTACATGTGCGAGATTTTAGTGCGACATTTTGAACATATCGTTGTTTTACATTCGCATTGAATTGGTTGAAGACTTTGAATACTTGCATTATATTTTCTTCCACATCCAAAACATTTGGAAATTCTTGGATTTCTGTAAATGTAATATTCCAAAATCAAACTGGTTCCTTTGCAGAGATCACTTATACATTTTGTTTGTTCAGAATTCAAAGTTTCTTTGCATTCTTCATTTGGACACGTTATAGAATCTTCAAGTTTCTCAGAAGAAAGATGTTCACTCACATGACCGATCCAGCAGGTCTTACATAGCCTGTGACATGGCAAACCAATTTCTTCCTTGTTTAACTTGCATTTTCTACAATATTTCGTATCCTCGTATCTCACCTTTCCTACTTCAATATTGAGTAATTCAAGAATTTCTTTTGAAACGTCATCAAAATTAAATCCTTCTGAGCTATATGTTGCATACAAATAGGATGCATACTTATTTGCATCATTTTTAGCCACCATTACAAATTTGCATACCTCCGTATCAGAGATTTTGTAACAATTACTTAAACGGCCACGTCCTTTCAATTCAATTTCATCATACTTATCTTCCAAAATAGATCGAAAAGTAAATAGAATTTTAACCGTGCTTAATTCTAAACAGCTTTCTAAATAAGTTAGATCGAGCTCCACTTGGTTTTCCATTTCAATAATTTCAGGCATTTCTTCGATAGTTTCCTGGTCTGTAAAAGGCCTTAGTATAATATTAGAATAGTCTGGTGTATACACGTACTGCTTGTTAACTTGAATATTTCCTTCAGATCCTTCGGCCAACTCTTTTTCGAAACTTGCTGGATTATCAGACTCTGCAGCTACTAAGTTGGATTCAATAGGATCTTCCCAAGTTTTTAAATCAGCTTTTATGCATGAGCCTTGTTTGTTCGATTCCTCTAAATGTCTTTTGGAGAGTTGTTGACTTTCTGCCGCCTTCTCAGAATCTTCCAGATTGACTGCCTTTTCTAAAGCTTCGGGTCTTAAGACTTCTTTCTTCAAGATTACTGGCCATTCCATATATGCCGATGAACTGTACTTTCCATCGTCGTCTTCGGATTCCTTGAAGTCTTCTAAGCACAGAGAATCGATGGGCATCCAACGGGATAATTTAGCCTTTTCACCGCTCTGTAGATAATCCTTTGTTGATGGATCCACAATTTCAACAATTGCTTTTACGCTTTTACCGCTTTTACGCTTATACCGCTTTTACGCTGCCACCATGTTTTGTTTCTCTAAGGGAATCGGGCTACGACGATGAACACTTCTTTATTTAAGAACGGAACTTACTAACTAACTGACAACATTCATTTTGTCTCTCTTTATAACCTAACTCGAGCGTCTATATGCAAAACCATATTTACATATTTACATCTGAATATGTACAATTACATCACAAACGCAACATGAATTTAAAAATTCCATGTGATAACTAGTCAAACGATAAACATATCGCTAACAAACAAATAGTTATTAATTTGCTCAATTGTTATTGAAAACATGACGAGAGAGAGAGAGCTAATAATCATAGTCCTAAAGAAAAATAAATCACCGATCACAGATAAATTAGCAAAACTCAATAAAAATCATCTGAATTAAAAATGTATAACCAGAAACTCTGCCATTGAAATATTAAATAGAAGAAAGATGTTTTAGTCGAAATTAAACCATTTCTCGCCCCATTAGTTCCGCCTAGCGTATTTTTCTTGCAATTTTGTCTCCATTTATTTTCTTTTGTGTATCGCTAGGGTTTCTCAATTTATTCTCTGTTCGATTTTTTTCCTCTTTTGCTGTACAAAAGACTTGTTGACTCGTAAACGCTTGGCACTCCTGGACGTAATAATTTGTCTTTATTTATTTCTCTCGATTCACCCATCTTTACTCTAAAATTTAGTTTAGAGTTGAATTGGAAAAGTATTGTATACATGATTTATTTTAAGTTGTGTTTGAATTGAAGAAATATTTTTTTTTGTTTAGAAATTTAAAATGAGGATTTAAATAACTTTGGCATTTTTTGTAAAAGAAAGATGAATATTATTTAGATTTACAATTCCAATTTCATTGGAAATGAAGAAATATGTTTTACTCGTTAGAAGTTTCCAAATTGAAGATTTAAGCGTTAGTGTGTGTACAGAATGCAATAAGTAATATTTAAATATTATTCGTTCCATCTTTTGAATCAATTTGTATGAAGTAAGACCTCCCATAAACAACCATCTGATGAGCAACCATCTACACTCATGACAAAACTTAAGGAAGTGGAAAGTCCTGATATCGTCTGCTATTTTGAAGGATACAGCGGCAATTTTGTTGACAATTGGTTATCTCGTATGTCTTCAATAAAGGTCACTGTAATATATTTCAGAGTTATTGTCTGAATCCCGATATTCCTGCTAAAAGGTACGACTTCCTTAAGTTTTGTTCACACTTGGTTATCTCGTGTGTCTTCAATAAAGGTCACTGTAATATCTTTCAGAGTTATTGTCTGAATCCCGATATACTTGCTAAAAGGTACGACATCCTTAGGTTTTGTTCACACTTGGTTATCTCGTGTGTCTTCAATAAAGGTCACTGTAATATCTTTCAGAGTTATTGTCTGAATCCCGATATACCTGCTAAAAGGTACAACATCCTTAAGTTTTGTTCACACTTGGCTATCTCGTGTGTCTTCAATAAAGGTCACTGTAATATATTTCAGAGTTATTGTCTGAATCACGGTATATATGCCAAAACTCCCTTAGGTTTTGTCTATAAGTGTAAGTTAAAAATATGACTTGAACTATACCAACCCAACCTCCAATAAACGACCACCTCCAGAAGAGACATTCATTTGCATATTTACGTACGTAATTTAGTCCATCAGCGCACAAAGCATTGCTTAAATTTAAGAGTTTTAACCTTAGTTGATATAAATTATGTGTAAATTTATGATTGATTAGTGTTTGTTAACAAAGGATTCATTTTACATCGGATATATTTACATAGTGTCTTCTTCATGACCAACACAGTAGGTGTAGGTAGTTTGAAAATTCGAACGTTAAGCAAAGATTCCAATGAATTCTACCTAACAATGATACTTTTTATGCAAGAAAGGGTATCTATTTTACCCAAGCTTGAAACCTTATCGGAGAGAGAGAAAAAAGGAACACTCTCTCTATATACAAAACTGCAATACGTTTCATAAAATAAAAATAAAAAAGCTTTATTGTTGGCATATCAAATTTTATCTTTTCAGATAAATATCTGAATTTATATTGAATAATACTACACACATATGATAAAGATGTTAAATTATAATGACGTATATATTCCGAAATAAAACAATATATATACTGTCTCTTACTGTATTGAAGAAAATATTGGAAGAGCCTGGCTCATCAGTGGTGAACCTCCCAGTAGTTTCGCCAATGTAACCTATCAGACCGCTCTATTGTGGTATATTTGACCGATTGATTTTAAACAGCTCTCAAACATTCAAATTATCATCTTTAAAATGAAAGTAATTTGAAAATATTTGTCATTAATGTTTATTTTCACACAAATATCATCAAATACTCATACAGCCCTTACCGCTATGATAAAAGAAATAGATGAGAGGGTTTGTTCATCAGCAGTCAAACTTCTCAGAGATTTCACCAAATTAATGTAAAAAAAAAAATAGTCAGAATTGGGATTCGAACTCATGCCCATATCAGTGAACCAGAGCACTCAACTCCTACTATGGGATAAGCATTATTCTTGAGGCTGGCGCCTTAGATCAATCAGCCATTCTGACATTGTGAAAACACAGATAATATTCGTCACTGATGAGCCAAGCCCTTTGTTCGAATTTTATTTATACCATTACAGTAATTTCTGTAAAAGTATTGACTTGTTGATAAGTTTAAAGAAAATATGCATTAGTTCAAAATATAAGGCTTATATTGTTGACAATTTAAAGGAATTCTTAGTGAAGGAAATTAAGAAAATAGGTTTTGGAGATGGTAAATATAGAAACAGATATTTGCATAGAGCATTTATCTTCCGCAAACATGTCACAAACATTAGGCATTATATTCTATTATAGTATTAATTCCAATATTATACTTTATGCACACTCTCACACTAGTTATTAGATGAACACACATTTTAAGCTCCAATATTTTCTCGGAAAAATAGGCTAAAATAATAAGAAGGAGGAATATCGCCATCTGTCGAAGAAGTCGCGAACCACTGGCGCCATGTTTATCCAACCATATTTACATAACGGCAGCTTTGACATTTTCTCGTCTGCTTTCTTCTAGGCCAAACGAATTGTGCTTGTCACGTGATCTCGACGTTTTATATATAACGCACTTTATATTGGCGTACAGACTTCGGTCTAGACAGCCCCCTATCCATCGGATTTATAGAATAATTGCAATAATGCATTTTCCCTATAAAATATGTAATTCTGAATATTTTTTTTTTTATCGCATAATAAAACTATCTTTTAACCAGATTTCTTTTTAAATTGAATTTTATTATCTTCTGCATAACTAAATATTTATTTATATCGATTATCTAAAATCATAATATATGTGTTTATGTTATGTTTGAAAATCTATGAATATATTTATTGGCCTGTTTGAAATATCATCATATGTATATTATAAAAGAAAATGAGATTTGATATATAATGGAATACATTAGTATTAGGTCAATGGTATTGGCAATGCAGTCGTAGCAAAATCTTGAAAATATAATAATAAAAATAGTTTTGATCAGTAATTGCTTTAATTGAACTAAAGGAATATGTATAAAAACATTGGTAAAAGTACTGCCTGGCTTAAGGCGTAAGAATAAAAAATGGAAAATTATTTACATAATGCACAAAAGGTTTGAGCCGGCCATCAGGAAACAACAACAATGAGTATTTATAGGGCAAGCGTGACCTCTGGCGGTCTATTTAAAAGAGTATTTGGATCTATGAAATATAAATTTAAATAAAATAATATTTTAATATAACATGTATATATATTTTCTTCCATTTTTAACGGAATTGTAAGTCAATTTTCACACACATCCAACAGCAATAACCCTTCTCGTAGGATGTCATTGACCAGTGACGGTCAATAAATGGCGCCTAGTTTTGACGGGAGAGGAGACCTTTATTTTTATATAGAATATATATATATAAAGAGTATATTTGTGGTAAAATATTGCATATTGACGTAGTAGGGCTATCGTACGTTTTTAGTTAAATAAATAATAAAAGAGAGCCATGAAATCTACGATATACAGGTTGTCTCTTTCCGAAATTTTCCTAAAACTCGCGTGGTGGCAAATTCTCAATATGCTCTGGTTCTGTATATCCTCCCTCGTGTTAAACAATTCAAAAAGATGCTATGAATTTTTCACACACTTCATCAATTCGGGTTTTTCGGGAATTTCACAAATGTTGTGCACTTCCTCCCTGGCCAACCCGCTGCCCGCCGTAAAAATTTTGCGGCTCGCCATTTGACTTTATATTTCTTTTGTAACTTTCATTTCTCGTCTGTATATTTAAAACAGAAAGTATATTGAAATAATTATAATAATTTTTCTGTTTAAAATATGTCCCACAATTTTTAAAATACATATTTGATTCCATGAAAAGGAAGAAAAAAGTTAGGAATAATGGTAATTAATAGAGAAATATTTATTTTAAATTGTTATTATTATTTTTATTCGAAAAAAAGCAGCCGAAAAATAATAAATAAAAACATTAAGCATCAAGGAAGTATTAAGTATTTTTTAAAATACATTTTAAAGTTAAAATTTTAATATAGTTAAAGTTTTTACACCTTGTTTACGATTCCGTGCGGCCCGTGGCGTCATTTAGGTTGGCCAGGGATGATTTAGAATATTAATAGCTTGAGGAGTGGGATCCCTTATAAGATTTAAGCAAAAAAAAATTCTGAAAAATATCTCAGAAAAAATATTATAAAATAGAGGAAATATTCAACACTACAATATAAAATTATAAAATAGTCATCTACGGAAATAGTTTCTACGAGAATATTCTCTTTTCTCTAATTCTCTTTGAATTAATTTTTCAATTTTATTGAAATTTTCATTCATTGCAACTAACACACACAACACAAGCATTCAACTTCGACACAAAACAATATATAATAGAAAGGAAGTAATATAGACATAGAACTCTATTGATTAAATATTAAATGTTTTAAATACTTATTTATATCCGCACAGAGTAATAAATCTAAATTAATCAGTGAATGTGTGACGATATTTATGATGATGTATTAAAGTTATAAATTCTCTTATTTCACTGCCTTGAATCACTGAAATATATTTTCGCTTTTGACCAAATAATCTTAAGACAAATGTTTTAATCCATTACTTCTATATGAATCATTGCATGTGTAGTAATGGGTATTATTTATGATGCATTAAAGTTTTAGAACTGTGTTTTTTTAATTGTATCGTTGATATTATTTTCATTTTCGACCAAAAATATTAGAAAATTTTAAACCTTATATCAATTACGTTATTATATAACAAAAATGTCAACAAATTAATTAAAAATGGGTATACAAAACATATCGTATGCATTATGTACAAAAAAAGATAAATAAAATTATAGTTCTGTTCATATACAACATAACGCATTCTCATTTCCCACCAAACGAATAATGCAATCACATTTATCACTACACTATATTTAGTCTTAATCGCTATTATAGTATTAGTCTCATTTTCTTACTTATTGGCTCTCTTCCGCTTCTGCTGACGCATGCGCAGTTCATTTCCCTTCCTTCACCATCATGTACATATAGACGGTGGACAGGAAGGTACCCCTTCTACTTCTGATTGGTCAGCTGGACGCATGGTCAGCAAAGAGGGAAGTTTACAGAGTAACAAAATATAAACATCAAAATTGATACTCTATTAATAAAATAATAAATACTTTGCTATAATATAATGATTTCATAAATACAAAGTTATATTCTGCTCTGTATATTTTCATTGTTTAGTCAAATACACTGGTGTCCAAAAATAAGAAACTTTTGTTTTTTAATGATATGTTTTAAAATATACAACGCTAAAAGCTAAAAAGTAATTTAATTAGGTATTTTAAGTCGTATAATTTATTTATCGCAACCATTCGATTCGGTAAAATTGAAAATATGCAAATTTTTGCTTGTCTTTATAAGTGTGCTATTTGGCGTGTCGTTTACCCCATCTAAGAATTGTCCAATTATAATTTTATTTAATCCTTAGTTAATTATGAGTTTACGAAAAATTTAGCAGATGATTTAAAATGGAGAGCTGTTGGAAGAATGGAGGCAGGGCAATCACAAGTTGAAGTAGCAAAATGGCTAAATGTGAATAAATCTGTGGTCAGCAAAATATGGAAACAGTTCATTGAGACAGGAACCATCAAAAGAAAAGAAGGTTCTGGTAGAAAAAGAAAAACAGCTACCTCTGAAGACCGTTATGCCAAGCGCCATAGGGAGATGACAGCTATTCAACTCTCAAGTGCTACTGGAACGAGAATTTCAAGACAAACTGTTTACCGAAGGCTTCACGAAGGTGCTCTTTATGCAAGACGACCAATGGTCTGTATCCCTTTAACCTCTGCTCACAGGAGAGCCCGCTTGAATTGGTGCTTGGAACATCACGCCTGGATTCATGATCAGTGGGCCAATGTTCTCTTCAGTGACGAGTCAAGATTTAGTTTAAACACAGATTCTCGACGATTTTTCATCTGGAGGGAGCCTGGAACCCGCTATCATCCCAGTAACATGAGGGAAATAGACAGTTTTAGAGGGGGCAGTCTCTAAGTCTGGGCTGGCATCAGTTCTAGCAGACGCACACCCCTCCACATTTTTTCTGGGGGCACTTTAACTGCCCAAAGGTACAGGGACGAGATCCTTGAGCCCTATCTAAGACCTTATAGAGATCAAATTGGTCACAATTTAATTTTAATGGACGATAATGCTCGTCCGCATAGGGCTAGGCTAGTCAATGAATATCTCCAGAGTGAGAATATTCGAAGGATGGATTGGCCAGCCAGATCTCCGGACCTGAATCCAATAAAGCATGTGTGGGATGCTCTAGGGAGGCGTATTGGAGCTCGTCACCCCTCTCCCAGAACCCTCGTTGAGCTAAGAACTGCTCTATAGGAGGAGTGGGGTTTACTACCCCTGGACCTCCTCCAAAGCCTGGTAAACAGTATGAGGGCTCGCTGTGAGACCTTGATAGCTGTTAGAGGTGATCATACTCCCTATTGATATCTTATTTCTTTAAGATCTGGAACCTTAGCTTTGGGTATGTTGGTAATAATTTGCATATTTCATAATTTCAAATATTTTTTTTATTTTCATATAGCTAGTCAAATTCTCCATAGTTTAAACTATTTGTATACTAAATTTTATATTTGTTAATAAATTAGCTTTTGAGAAATTTCAATATTGGTTAAGTTTCTTATTTTTTGGACACCAGTGTAATAAAATAAAGTATAAAATTATTTTCTTCGCCACAATTCAAAAATCATATTGATAAAAATATAATCAATTTTTGCAAAATGTTCGATCACCGTTTAATAACGAAAACTATAAAAGGGTGATATCATATATGGAATAAAAATTAAATAATAATGAACAATTGGGAAAAAGGGAAGTTGAATTTCAACAAAAAATAAAAGTTTGGAAATGATGGATTTCCTATATATTATAAATTATTAAAGAAAATAATTGAAATGGAAGATGTGTGCCCACGAAGAGAAAAAAATTATTTGAATGCAAATTT